TGAGAACTGGACAATGAAAAAAGAAGATTGAAGGAGAATTGGTGCATTTCAACAGATGATGAATATTGAATATACCATGGTCTGCCAGAAAAATGAACAAATCAGTCTTAGAAGAAATACAACCAGAATGCCCCTTAGGAGCAAAATGACTCATTATAAGTCAGAGCTAACTAACAAAATAAGCTGTTGAGAATAAAAAAGGAAGTGTGTTAATGGTTGCTGTTGTTAAGTGCGTGGAATTGATTCCGACTCATAGTGATGAGGAGCAGCTGGTGAGTTTGAACCACCAACCTTATGGTTCAAACTGACCTTGCAGTCGAGTGCTTATCCTCCAGTGCCACACCAGGACTCTGAGTTAATGGTTGACAGGGGAAAGAAAGATCCAAAGCTAAGACACTCAAATGCTAATTCTGTTCAGGAATTACAGATTCTTACAGTTATTTTTCAAAGTCTGTATACTTTGAAGACCTCTATAATTGGGCTTCCTGGAAGGAAATTGACTTTGTGGTTTGCAAATCTGATATTCTCTAACCTAGATTCCATTTTTCCCTCATAAGAATAATTGCTTTCATAAAATGATTCTTGAAGCAAAAAAAATGTTTAAGCTCCTACCTACTATGTACCAGGCACTGTTCTGGTCACTGGGGGCATGATTGCTAAAGCATGATGTCCTGGAGACTCATCCATGTTGCTAGGTGCATCAGCGGTTCATTCCTTTAGATTACTGAGTAATAGTAGCCTTTGATTGGGATGAACTACCTTTCCATTAACCAGTCACCCTTTGAGGGACATTTGGATTGTTTCTATTTTATTACTTTTATAAATACCCATTAAAACGTGCATATGAACATGCAAAAAAAAATACCATGGCTTGGGTCAGGTGCACCTAAGTCCTCAAACTGACATCTTTGCTCTTCAACACTTTAAAAGGGTCTTGTGCAGCAGATTTGCTCGACAGTGACATTATGTTGAGTGAATCTAGTCTATTACAAAAGGACAAATATTACATGAGACCACTATTAAGAAAAGGAAATGTTCTTTGATTGCTAACAGGGGTGGGAGTCCTGGTGTGGCACTGAAGGATAAGCACTGGGCTACTAGCCCCATTTGGTGGTTCAAACGCAGCAGCTGCTCCTCAGAAACTTTATACAGAGTGTTATAAGTTAGAACCCATTCCAAGACACTTAATAACAACAACAAAAGAACTGTTTAGTGCTCACCCTAAGAGCTGTGATTCCTACATTGCTGGTGAGTCAGAGAGGGCTATGTAGAAAGAGCAGGTGAAAGAGGTAAACTTTACATTACAATTCCCAGGGCAACCAGGAATCCCAGGTGTGCCTGGGAGTGGCTGCCAAGACTTTGTAAGGGAGGAACAGAGTAGGCTCTTTTCAAAGACCAAGGCTCCCACATAGACTGGCTGCCTCCTCCAAGACTCCTGGACGCCATGACTCTGGCTCCAGATACCACGTTCGTTCGGGGTTTCATGCTGCTGCTTCTGCTTCCGTGCTGGTCCTGGACAGTGTGGGCCAGTGAGTCCAGGGGAGGGTGGCTCTCCTCACACTGTAAGTTCCCCAAGCCCCTGCCCCAACATTTTCCACTGGACTGTTTCTTGCCTCCTGGGTTAGGATTTGTTGTTGTTGTTGTTTAGTGCCGACAAGTCAAGTCAGTTCTGACATATAGTGACTCTGTATAGAATTTCTAAGGAGACGTTTGTGGGTTTGAACGGCCAATCTTATGATTAGCAACCCAGTGCTGTTTCTACAGCGCCACACCATGACTCCTGGGTTAGGAGAGGGCTTAGGAGAAGGGACTAGAAAAGAGACAATGACAGTGAAAAGTAATGTAAAGCGTGGAGGTAAAGTAGCTGGGAGGGGAGGGAGAAAAGAGATCCAAAGAAAGATTTGGGAGGCCCCACCCTACACCAACTCCAGCTCCCCAGCCAGCCAGAAGACTTGCAGCAGGGGATTTCTTCAGGAATCTCCCAGCACTGCCCAGTAAATGTCCTGACATGTTCAGCCTGTGTCATTTCTCACAGAACCTCAGTGAGGCACAGGGAAGACAGGACTAAGGGAGAAGCCATTGGGTGTTGATGCAGTGGGGCTGGCAGGAAGGAGCCCTCCTTTCTCTGCCAGCCCAGCCCTGTGGAGGGTTTCTAGAAGACTCCTTCTCCCCACTGCACCCCTCACCTGAGACTTTCTCTCATAGATCCTCACTCACTTTGCTACAATTTCACCATCATGTTGAAGTCCCCACCTGGGCAGCCATGGTGTGAAGTTCAAGGCCAGGTGGATGGAAGGACTTTCCTTCATTGTGACTGTGGAACCAACAGAGTC